CCTGGGGACAGCTCCCCGGCACCCTTCCTCGGGCTCATTCCCCAGAGCCCTCTCCCCGGCTCGCCCAGCCCGGAGACCCCGCCCTGGCGCCCTTCCTTGAAGCCCCTTTCTTGGCGCCCCCTGCCCGGCGTCCCCTCCCCGGCGTCCGCTGCCCGGTGCCTCCTTCTTGGGGTCCCTCCCGGGTGACCCTCCTTGACGTCCCCTTCCCGGCCGGGCTTGGCGCCCCCTCCCCGGTGCCCCCTCCCTGGAGTTCCTTCGGGCACCCTCCGCGGCGCCTCCTTTCGGACGCCCTCCGGCGCGCGCGAGGCCTCCGCGCTCAGAGGAACAGTCCCCTGGCCCGCTCCCCTCCCGGCCGGGCGCGCGCTGCTACCTGGATCTCGTGGATGCGGCTGAAGCCGTCCTTCCAGAAGAACTCCACCAGGTTGGCGAGGGTGCGGGGCCCCGGCATGGCGGCGAGGCTGCGGGGCCCTTCGGCCCGGCCCCCGGCCCGCGGCGCTCCCGGCCTCCCCACTCCTTTGTCCTCGGCCCGCGTCCCCGCCGGCAGCCGGGCGCCCTCGGGCCGGGAGGGCCGCGAAACCCCCGCGCTCAGGAACCCGCCTCGCCCGGCCGCCGGGCTCACTCCGGCGTTCAGGATTCGCTCCAGGAGAGCCATTGCAGCCATTTGGGTTGGTTGGTTGGTCGAAGCAACTGTTTTGTTTGGGGAGATGCTGCCCTTTGGGGTTGGTTGCTCTTTGCTTCAATGTGTTCGAGCAGCGCTTCTTTGAACTCATACCGCCTGGGCATCAGTTTACACAGACCATTATTAAAGGCTCCCTCCCCTAAGGCTGGAAAAAAAAGAGGCTGCAAGAGAATGAGGCAGTTAGCTTTTCTTCACATCACATTAATTCACCACTTAAGCGTTCTTCGAAACCACAAAATTTTAAGTTCAACCCCACTTCTGACCATAGCCAAAAAAAAAAGAAAAAGAAAAGTCTACTGGAATTTTCAAAAGTATTTCCTTCCTTAAAAATTACTATGGAGGGGCGCCTGGGTGGCTCAGTCGTTAAGCGTCTGCCTTAGGCTCAGGTCATGATCCCAGGGTCCTGGGATCGAGTCCCGCATCGGGCTTGCCGCTCCGCGGGAAGCCTGCTTCTCCCTCTCCCACTCCCCCTGCTTGTGTTCCCTCTCTCGCTGTGTCTCTCTCTGTGTCAAATAAAGAAATAAAATCTAATAAATAAAGTTATGAACATGTTCTAAGGTTAAGTGGGGTGACTGTTGTATGGTATGTGAATTATATCTCAATAGCTCTAGTACCAAAAAACAAAGAGAAATCACAATAAATGTAAATGGGTTAAATAAATAAATGACAGAGAGAGAAAGTACCCTTCAGCCTGGCTCAGTATGGCAGAGCCAGGTCTGAGCATATGGGGAAAATGACTGTCTCTCTTTGGTATCTGCCAACATTTCTCATCACCCCAATTCTCAACCTCAAAAATAGCAGGCCAGAGAGTCCATTGTCTCTCCATTCTTCCTTCTACTCCTCAGGTAGAAGATACTCACTTCCTTATCAACCTGGGTGAAGTCCTCCCACCCAGAGATGAAAACACTCAGCCTCAACTGGAGGGTGTTCCTCTGGGTCTCTGAATGGGAGCCATGGATGAGATGACTGTTAATAGCCAACTACTGGGAAATGGGTCACTCTCCAGGCAAATCCAGCTACTGAACAGGCACCATCAGCACTAAGGAGCAACTGACCAGGCACAAGAAAGAACAAGATGGATGACTCAGATAGTGTACAGCACTTTTTTGCTAGTGGACCACAGAACAGTACAGTCAGTCCTGGTACTTAGAATTTGCATAGACATTAAGAGCACAGACCCTGGAGTTTGAATCTTAGCTCAGTGTGTACTAGCTAGGCAACCTTACCCACTGCACTTCAGTTTCCTCACCTGTGAAATGGACAAATAACAGAACTTCTCTCACGTGTAGGACTAGAACTGTGCCTGGCACATGAAAAGAGTTCTAGAAGTGTTCATTATTAGTATTTACATGTTATGATTATAGCTTACAAAGCCCCTCCACAGCCCGAATCTCATTTGATCACATAATAACTTGTGAGATGGATGAGGATTGTCAGAATCCTGCACAGACGAGGAAAATGAGGTCCAGAGAGAATAAGTGATTAGCCAAGACTCCACAGGTGCACGTAGAGGCCAGCATTTGAACACAGGGCCCTCCTGCTCTGTCACATCTGAAACAGCCTCTAGCAACACAGGCTAGGATGTTGCTCTGTCACTAATTAGCTGCGTGACCTCGGGCAAGTCACTCAACCAACACTTGGGTCTTTTCCACCTGTACGGGAAAGACTTAAACCATACAGATGACTGGCAAGCTAACACTGTGTGATCACAAGTCTAATAAAGTATACTGGACGTAATGGTAACAGAGTAACTGTGTTCCTCCTACAGGGGCCTCAGGAGCAAGCTGGAGAGCAGGGCAGAGGGTTTTACTAGAAGCTTACTCAGTCTAGAGCAACCTGAGCTCACCTGCAGTGGGGTAACCCAAGGCCATAAAGCACTCCCTGGGGTCCTCAGAGGGGTTGCAGGAGGATTCCTGCTCTTGTAAATGAGTGCTATTTGGAGAATAAAGGGAAAGGGGAGCCCAGAAGGACAACGGAGCTGGGAACAGTTGGGGCCTGTCTACTGTGTTTTGAGAAAGCACAGGTGAGTCAGTTCCGTGACTGTCTTCTGGCAGGTGTGCGCCACCACTCAGGACCATCACGGTGATAGGTGTAGTCTGAGCCTTGGGCAGGAGGGCTGAGTGTAGGGTGATGGCAGGAAGCAGGGCAGATGCAGGGAAAATGCCCCTCTGAACTGAGACACTTTCTGGTGGAGGAGAGGTGGCTCTCTAGGCCGCTCCTGCTAGAGATGCAGGTTTTAACAGCAGTCAGCTTCGCAAAGAAACCTGTGCTGCAGAACCAACTGTGGGCTTATGCTGTGAGGATAAAAGCAGATGGCAACAGAAGGGGATAAAAGTAAAAAATATAAACAAATTAAAATAAAAAAAAACAGAAATAAAAATATCAAGCTGTACTGACTTGTCCACAGCCAATAACAAAACATGTTTTTCCCCATTTGAAAACTATCACACCCTGGTATCTTATGTCCAGATTCCACAGGGAAAAGAAAGAAAATCCTTTTTGACCCCTAGAAGCATGTGAGGCGAAAACTGTGTAGGGTTGGTGTGGGGGATGGAGAGGAGGGTCTGGAATTTCAAATTAAACTTGCTCCTGAGTTCTGTTTTTTCTCCCAATGAGGTTTCTGCTTCTCCAGCCCAATCAGGGCTTCTGCACCATCAGGTATGTTTCTTGGTTGAGGGAACGAACGAATGACCATGACCGCAGACCAGGTGGATGGTCACGGAAGGCTTCCTCGGAGAAGTGCTTTGAAGGATGACCGATGAGTTTTGAACAAAAGTAAGTGGGATGGGGGTGGGGGGAGGGTGTTCTTGGAAGCTGTTAGAAGGCCCAGATCCCAGAAAGAAGTGTGCGCTGGGGTGGGAGCCCTGAGGAAATGAAGAAGTCAAGTAAGGAAGCAGCTGCCAGAGCGAGAGGAAAGGAGATCCCATGACCCTTGCAGGTGGAGGGTCCCACCTTGCAATGAAATGCGCAATTTGGGACGGGGAAAAGAAGGGCAAAACTCAGGGTCGAGATGAGAAACTGTGGGCTGACGTGTCCCAAAACTCCCACAGGTTGTTGGAACGACTGGGTTCTTCCTAGGTCCCTGCCCGAGTCCTGGCTTGCAGCCGAGGTTCATTTACATTCGTGTGGCGGCCTTATCATTTGGAGGCTAAGCAACCTGTGGCCTCCGAACCTCAGATGTTTGGGGGAGGGGGGCGTGTTTGTTTTCCATTTATAAAACACAAGCAAAAAGGACCAGAAAGGGACGCAACATGACCTCGGCCGGCCGTGTAGACACGGTGCTCTGGAGAGCTCAGAGCAGCTCGCAGCGCTCCCGGGCCGGGCCCCCGACGCCCCCGCGAGAGAAGGAGCTCTTCTGGGGCCCCCTCGGGGCCGTCCCGGGACTGAACCGCAACTCCCTCCGCTGGGCTCCGCAAGCCTCAACCCGCGCCTCCTCCCGCGGGGGTCCACCCCGAGCGGGACCTCCT